AGTTCCAATGATGGAAGTTATATAATCTTTTGGAATGTCAAATTTTTTTTGGCTTGACTGGAAAATAAACAGCCCCTTCTTTTTCCCCACCTCAAAAAAATAATAATCTGGAAATTGCTTTAAATGCTGGAAAACACCCACCAGAGGTACAAAGTGTAAAAACAGAATTGTCAGCCTTCCAGAATGATTAATCCTAGATTTTAAATGACAAACAAAAATTCATCCCAAATGATAATTTTCAGGAAACCACAGCTAAATGGGAGGGCAGCTTTCCATTTGCCCCCTTGGCTGTATTTTCATCTATACTTCATGGCATCCTTTTCCATGGTTAATCCCATGGGACTAAATCAATGTTGAGCATTTCACTCACCGTGAAACAGGTTATGGAAAAGCAGTGTAATGAAATTTTTGTGACTTTCAGAACACATTCATTCCCAGGCCTCTTAGGTTTCCTATTTGGAATGAAGGGAAGGACACAAGCATAAGGACACTTGAGGGCTGGACCTCCAACTCAGCTTCTTTGTGTGCTCTGCCATGTGACAGCAGAGCTCTAGGTTTGGTGGGGTGGTGCTACCATCCTTGCTTTGGTAGAGCCCTGCAGGGATAAATGCCTACAGTCCATGCTACAAATGAGAGTAACATCACTGTTTCCATCGGGTTTGTGCTCCTTTCCTCACTGTGCATCACAGTTTTCTCTGCCAACAGCTTCATGGATGAAGGTAGGGAGCTGACATTTGCTGTACCCTCAGCACAGAGAGGAATTCTGGCTCTGCAACCTCTTCAATGAAGGAAAAACATGAAATCACTTTGCTCCCCTTCTGCAGGGAAGTCATTAACCTCAGTAACAGGGAAGGGGGTAGATTTTTAAACCCCATGCCTGGGGGATTAGACAAGTAACTGCTCTTAATGTCAGCATTGATATGTTTCAGTAAGTTAGCCTCTTTCTGAAAACGTAACCCAGGGTAGCAAAGGTTCTGACCGTGCAGCTTGAGCCCAAGTGGATGGAGGAGAACAGAGCTTACAAAAGAAAGGCCAAACTCAGGCCTGTTTAAGATAAAGGTGCGTCTACATATTTACATTTATCAATGTGAATTTCAATGAATATATATATCTATATATATATATGTAAAAATACATATATATATATATGTAATAAAAATATATGTATATATAATATTCAGTGTGAAAAATAAAAGGCTCTTCACAAATGTTTTGGTATTGTGCCTTAAAAAAATGACACTTTCCACTGCCAGTCATGACTTTTAGTCAGATTATGGCTAAAAATATTAAGGGAAGAATCACCACAGCAACAATCACATTGCTCCCCTTCTGCAGAGGAAATGGAAAAACACTCAAACTTTGCCAACCTGAATAAATTACCCAGATTATCAGAACTGTAAGGAAAGTGATATGTTAGCAACTCTGTGTGTTTTTGTGTCTGGGAGGGTGTGCAAATGTGTTAACTTGGTTCCAACCCATTAAATACTTAAGTCAAAGGGGACAACTCTGAAAATATGCTCAAGAGACAAAAAATTACTGTGGTTGTACCTTAATTGGCCAGCAGATACCGTGTGAAGGGTAGTGCTCACTGCAACAGTGGGGGACTCCAGTCCAGCTGCTGGGCTGGGCTCTCCTGCCCGTGGTGGCCTGGAGATGGGATGGAGCACATTGATGCTCACTTGGTCTTGAGCCAACGTGAAGCTGAGAAAGGGCTGTTTTGCTCATACAGATGCACTCTTACTCCAGTCTCGTAATTGCTTGTACCTATTTGGCATAGTTTGCTCTGCCAAAGTAAAACATCTTATTAGCCAAGGAGGGGAAGAACAGGGGTGGAAGGGTGAGGGGGCAGGAGCAATATTGTCACTACTTGACTTGAAACACATTATGCAGGAGTCTGCAATGGAAACCTCCTCTTACCAGGCTGCCCACGCTGTCAGTGAAGATAGGATGGCTTTTTTAGAGGCAGCCCAAGGACGTGACTTAGAAGAGTTGAAATGATGTCAAGCTCTTTGGTGCATTCATATTGCATTAAAATCTAAAATCATCTCATGCAAGCCCAAAGCACATGGCTTTTGAGCACTGGAAGAAAAGGTGTAGAGTGCAAAGGCTGTGTGTTCCCATTCTCTTGCCATTAGTATGAGCACTTGTTTAGCTGTCCAGAATTAAATCCTGGACTGTTGTCTGTCCAGGGGGGGCTGCTATCCTCTCTGGCTTGATTTCTAGCTAGAAAGGATCCTCAGTTCTTTTTGGCATCACACATTTTAAATAAATGGTGCTTGACTGGTCTGTGTCTAGCCTTTTCTACTTTCCAGATTCACAGATGTTTTGCAAAGGAGGTGTGTGCTCCTATTGAACAAATTTAAACATACTGATAACAGACTTGCTTTTCTTTACTCTTTTTTTTCAATGCAGGCCAGTGCAGCTTGGGCTTGGCCAGATGATCTAAGTGATGCCAATGATATCCTGGCCCCATTTGAAGTATCTGCTGGGTCCACTGTATATTGTTTCTATAGTCTGTTGATGCAGACCGAATTCCAGTAATGACCTGATGGCAATGTGGCTGGAAAATGGTTCCAATGGCTGCTGTCAGAAGCATATGGGGCTCTCTCCTGACTTGCAGGATATGCTGTTCAGGGCCCTCATGTGCCAGTGCCAGAGGCACACAAGCAAGCCGAAGGTTTCAGTTTGATCAGGCTGGCTGAAAACTCATGATGTTACCTCCAGCTTGTAAAGAGCGGTTGATGGTGAATTTGGTTGCTCTGCAGTATTCTGCTTTTTTGGTTTTTAATTTAAAATTTTTCTTGCCAACTCATTTGAAGAGCCCTATGGGCCCTTGCTTTCTTTTCTGAGTTTTGATGGCTGCCACCTTGCTATGCCCACTGTGGCTCCAAGGCTGGCAGCCTGCTCAACCACAGAGCCTTTCCACATGGCATGGGTTTTGTGCTGGTTGGTGGTGACACTGAGCCATTGAAGTGGGGAAAAGCTAACAGCAGCAGCTGGCATTAATGATTCCTGTCCTTGATCATCACCCAGGATCAAGGACAGGAATCACAGATCTCAGAGGGTTTTCATGGAAGTCTGCTGCAGTCTTGAAATATGAGTGAGTGGAGGACATGAAAGCACATCTGAATGGGCTAAGGAATGCATAAGGACTGGAATTCTAATACTTAATTCAGTGCTTGTGCATTAGTTGGTTTGTTTTGGTTTGCTGGTGTTTATTTTTTTCACATCTCTTTTTAAGATTTGCTTGTTTTTCTGGGTAAGGAAAGATGAGTGATACATATGGTTAGATGTATGTCTGGTATGATTTTGTTATTGTGTGTGGGACCTTTAAAAATAAAGTGTTCCCCTGGCTGTAGTCTAGAAGTGAACGCTATGCATCAATGCAAGATAGCCCTTAGAGTGAGTTACATTCTTGTTTTTTTTCCCTGTATTTGTTATTTCTCTCCTTGCTTGTTTGATTTAATTTGAAACAAAAACTATTCTGGTTGTAGGCAATTTTGATCTAGGCATTCAGGAAATGGAACAGGCTTAGATCTATGGAAAAATACAACTGCGAAAATTCTACCAGAAGGACATGTTGCTTCCCCTACCATCCTGTCAAAGTCAGGTTTGATCAGGATGTCTCCTCTGTAGCACGCTGACCTACCTGTTAGGAGGACAGATTCTGAACTGGATGATAATGGACACTGATTTCCTTTCCCCTTCAAAATCACTGTCTCCAAACTAAGGTCTGTATGTTATAACCAACACTCCAGTCTAGAAAGCTGAAGTGATTCTCAGCTGCAAAACTCATATCTGAGTTCCTGAAAATGAGATAATATACGAGAAGCTGCCAATTTCTTTCATCCAGTTTTATGGGATGAAAGTCTCAAATATGAGGGGTATATCTAAAGCAGCTGTGGGTCTTGCCTGCATTATAGTTTGGGAGTTGGCTTGCTGCATTATAGTTTTGAAGTAACAGACTCGGTCGGTAGTCTCTAAGCTGAACTCAGTCTCACAGAGTGCCTTTCTGGGGACTAGTTTATTCTGTTTGTTGTACCTTCCTGTCAAATGTGATGGGAAATCAGTGATGAACAGGAGGTCCCTAATCTCCATGGATACTTGTCTCTGCATGGTGTCAAAATCTGAGTTGGCTGTTAATTTTCTTATATTTTGCATATGACTAATTTACTTAGGAAGGGAGGGAAAGGAAGGAGGTTATTTGAGATTGAAGTAAAAAATGAGAGAAAGAAAATTTGGCAGTGGTTCTCAACTGTAGCTGCTGGGAGGGCTGCAGAAGCCTGTGCCATACCTGCATCCCCCAAGCTTGTTGTCAGCTCTCACACTTTGTTCTGTTCTCAGAGCAAGGTCTTGAAGGAACACAGCTGCTGCAGCTGCTCATAGACCAAAAGGTGACCTTTCAAGTAGCTGAGGCATGATACATTATTTAGTGCATTCCTGGCTAAAATGGAAACGAAATATTTTTGCTAGCAGAAAGATTTGTTTGTCCTTTCACTTGGATGCATCCTTTTTGCATGCATCACAATAGTGTGGCATGCACACCATTCCTTGGTGTTTCTTCTGGTAAGGCTTTGAAAAAACACTGACTGTTTACTAGAAGGACCCAACTAGCCAAATGTAATAGACTTCAGTTTTGAGGTACCAAGTTTGCAAAAAAACAACTTCTATTTAAATGATGTGTAGGATTGAAAGCTTCCTGGTGAAGTGTATGTCTTTAGACTGTCAGCTGATACTGGTAAGTACCATAACCAGCTGTTACTTCAACATGAAGTGTTTTTCTTCTTTCAATTAATCAAGAGTCTCTTGGAAGTTGCCATAGCAGGGCATTCATTACAGGGGCGTTTAATGGGTAGAATATTTGTCATTTGCATAGAGAGAGGCTTCAGCAGTGATCCTAGTGATCTGAGGTAGCCAGGAACTTAGGCATCCTGTGCATCTATTGGGTAAAGGAGGGATGGCAGATGGGACCAATTTTTCACAATGTTTGACATTGAATTTCCCACGTGGTCTTCCAGACAGAGATTCAAAGAGGCTGGAACCTGCCTCTCCTGCTGACTGTGAATGAAGATTGCAGTATACTCAGCTACAAGTCCATCTGCTCTTTAACTTTTTTCGAAAAAAAACTATCTAAGAGTATTTTTCCTTTGAAGCTTCCAGCACCATTTATGAGGGCTCAAAGGGGATATTATTCATGTTTCAGATGAAGAAAGCTGAAACTGTCAAAGTAACAACTGACTTGAGAAAAGCCAATATTCTCCAAGGCATCAGCATTTAGAAGGACCTGGGAAAAGATCCTGTGCTTACCAGGAAATTTCACTGATCTCATCAAATCCCAAAACTGCACAAATGAAGAATTGCCCAGCAGACTATGCTATCTTATTGCAAACCCCAGTAGTAAAAATGTTTCATAAAATGATAGGTATCTGTTTCTGTGGGATGATTTTTAGCAGTAAAACAGTAGATGGTATAAGTGAAGAGAGATTCCATAATTAACTGCGTTTTAGTTACCTGTTTGATATCATCTTAATTGTTACAACAAACTGCACAAGATGACTGAAAATGAACACCTTTCTACTCAGAAGATAAACTGCTTTTAAAAAAGAAGGAATGAAACCCAGCTCTATCATTTTCAGTATCCCAGTTAATTAAAATGGACATGACTGGAGAAGCATAGACACCTGAGCAACTTCCAAGACATTTCTCTGTCATGTTCTTACTGACTCTGAGACCTTATTTCCCACCGCAGTGTCTGCTCATCCCAGTGCAGCACCCTTCAAACCAACCTTCCCCAAAGGATCCAGCAGACACGGGCTGAGAAGAGAGCTAAGCACAAGCTGGTAAGCACTCACTGCAAGGAGTTCTAAGTGCTGTGGGGTTTAGTCAAACAGTAAAGCACAAGCTTCTACTATGACTCATCTGGTGTAAAACCAGTGCTAAGTATTGTACATAATTAAGACAGCATTATTACAGTGAAATGGCACTTCTTTTTTTGGTATGGCTAAAGTCTTGAGAAGGTGTAATGTTTTCAGCCTTCAGAGCTGTGAAGATGAGGAGTTCTGATAGGAGTTCATTCTAAAAGATATCATGGCTACAGCGAGTTTAGATCGTAATTTGCGTTATTGCTGAATCTTTGCACGCATATTTCTGTTGCCTTTGTGAAAAGCTGTGGTATTTGTGAGAATAAACACGACCTTAGAGTCATGTTCATTAGATAACACTTGCAACGCTGGCCTCTCTATATATTCTGAGGGTTTTCATAATTTGTAAACCCACAAATCAAGTATTTTATTTTGAGCCACATTTCTTAAGGATGTCCTAATGGTCCTAATGGGCACATCCCAATGCACATAAAATTATATTTGCCATTGAATGCAGTAGAAAATGTAGTGTCGGTGAGCTAGAGATTCAACATTTGAACACAGACTGTCAGCAGGTACAGAAGTATTAGTAAGACAGTGTCCCTACCAGTGGGAAAAGTTGAACAAGTAGGTCATTCCAATTTGCTTACTTGTCCCAAATTTATCCTTCAGAGGTCCACAAATCAACTTTGCTTTTAGTGAATGCATGATCTTGGTAAAAATTTATTGTGGTATAATGCAAAGAAATTCAGTTTATTGGTCATTCTAAACCCATTTGTTCAAGTTACTTGATTCTCATTATCCTTGACTAGAATGGTGTTATGATATTCTTTCTGTTCATTGATTAGCTGTCTGACTTGCAGGGGAGAGGTGGGAAAGCAGACTGCAAGATGGTGATGTGGACCATTTTAAGGGACAGGACTTTAAAAGAGCCCATTTCTATCTGTGTATTCCAGTGGATGTCTTTGTAGTATGTTTATGCTCTTACTGGAAAGTTTATTTGCTACTTCAACCTAACCTTACCACCACTTTTCTTACAGTTTCTTAATATGCTTTTTATGCCATGTTTCATTCACCCCTCCAAGGAATTGTTTGTGTAAGTTACAGGAACTACAGAGTCTCAGGAGGAATCCCAGGCAAACAATGGACATGGATGAAGACTTCTTGACTACAGCCTTTTTGGATGAGTTGAACAACCTATAATATTTTACAAGTCTGAAGATTAAGAATTCCAAGGGTCTTTCTGAAAAAAAAATTATCATTTACTATAAAAGATCAATTCCTGTGTTGTTTGCACTACTGCTTTCTGGATGAGTTTCCAATCTATTAGTGAAGCAGTAAATGCTCCTCCAGTAACCAACCATTGATATCTCGAAAGCAAATCAAAAGCAGTGTAAGGCTGTTGAAGAAAAGGGCTTGAAAGGAAACGAGTAAAAGATCATACCATTCCTATGGTAGCTGCAAAAATTTGTGAAGATTACAGCTGAGAGAGGGATGGGCCAGAGACCAGAAAGAGACCAAGGGATCAAAGACAAGATATCTGCCTGCAGAGTGTGGTCCTGACTTTCCTTCTTGCAGGCTTACAGCCTAAACAGCATGACTACAACTTTGTAGGGTTGATCTGTTAGGGGCACACAACCAGAGGTGGAACTGTGGGAGACGATGGATAAGCCTCAAATGGAGAAAGCACCTGTTGACCACTGGTTTTACCTTGGACTTTGTTCAGCCCTGACAGGATTTATAGAGTCTGGACATGTAAGAGAAATACTATGCATGCCTGTTATTTGTAACACAGGGTTTTCACTTCAGCTGAGGGGCCAGAGACCTTGCTGTGGGTGCATCATGGAGTTGCACTCCTGATGCTCCAACTTCTGTCTTTATTCCAACCATGAGTTCACTACAAGCCCAAAGGGAAAAATATTTGCATTCCACTGTGCACATTGGCAGTAATTTTTGTGGATGCAGCACAACACTGTGGAAAGAGACAGGTATATGGAGCATTTAGAAGGTAATAATTTCTTCTAACTTTTAAATTTATTTATTATTTTTAGCCACACTCCAAAGGTTATAGTGGGAATAGCAAAGAAAAGAACTTGCAGATTTCACAAAAATCGAAGCCTACAGCTTGTGCTGGATGGGTTTATTTGGCACACATCTGTGATTACAAAATGAATTTTGAATTGCTTTTGAACTTCATCTGGATAATGATTCATCCTTTTGATTTCCCTTTCCCTCCAGAACATCCACCATTAACAAACCAACCAGTTGCAATGTTTTGCAATCCACATTTGAACCTATTTCTCAAAAGATTGCACATTTTCTTGAATAAACAATTACTCAACTCATTTACATGGAGAAAAGGTCATTCTTGGGACTGGAAAATGAATCAACAACCCTCTCTGGCAACCATCTTTGAGATGGTCAAGAAGCAATTGCAGTAGAAACATGTTAAACTGCAACTTCATGTTGCAGAAATGCAACATCAACAGGCAGTTTAAGTGTTTCTGTACAGCCTTGGTTTGGTTGTGTTCAGCCCATTACAGGGTTTAGGCACATGCCTGAAGATGGAATTACATGACTGAAGTTAAGATGTGCATAAGTATTTTGTTGTGTATGGGCCTACACGCTACATCTGTGTTTGTATTAAGAAGAAAAGCTGTTCTACAAGACATTCAGGCATTTTTAAATGTATTTTTGTTCTGAACTGGAACAGGAAGTTTTATCTTGTAATGAAATGTAGGAGATTTTTAATCCCAGAAATCTTGTAATTGAGCATACTTGAAACACTGTGTGTCAGTAATGTTGAAAAGATTTGAGACATTGAGATTGAAATATTGCATGTCCACATATGTTACTAAATTAATTAGAAGCAACTGTGAACTAAGCATGCTGGGATTGCTGGGGTTGTGTATTAGCATCCCCTGGATACAGAAAAGAGCTGTGGTCTGGTCTATCTTCTTGGCTGAGATGCAGTGTTCCATGAACATGCTTCTCAGCTGAGCAATAAAGCAAGGATATTAATCTGTGCACAAAGTAGACCTGGACCTACTAAACCCTGCTTAGTCCAACTGGATTTAGGTAGGGACATCTCAAATGTCTTGTACCAGGTCTTTGCTGCAAGTGCTTCAGAAATGCAGGGTACACACCCTTTACTTTTGCTTGTAGGTGGTTTGGGTTTTCCTTGGCTAGTTGGTTCTGCCTTTGATGTGTCCTAAATGATTCCATACTGTCCAGGAGCCATGGTAGTTTGGGCACAACACCATCATTTTCATCTGATGCTGTACATGATAACTGAGCCCCTCTGGAGCTGAGGGCTGCAGCTCTGCAGCAGCTAGCCAGGGTTCAGAACTAAGCTGCAGCTACTTAAAGTCAGGTGGGGTCTTTGCAGGAATTTTAACGTTATCTTCAAGCCTGTTCTGCCATGGACATCCCACTACCTGAGGACTGCAGCTGGCTTTAAACTTAAAAGCTCAGATTTGCAAATCAAAGCTAATCATGTTTTGGTAACTTCTTGCTAACTGTATTACCATAATCAATTGTCATTTTCTTGAAAAAGTTTCAGTACTGTGGAATCAACCTTCACTATAAGGAGACTGATGCACTGGGAAAAATTCAAGCAGCCCTGTGAGTATATAGAAAAAATGATAGACAAAGTCCTACCAGACTGAATATATTGCTTATTCTGCTTGTGTCTGGATATAGTGGTTGTTTCAAATGGAGTGCATATCTGGAAATAGTCTATGAATGGGAATCATACTCTGTTCCCCTCTGTTTTCCCTGCTCTTCAAGTTACAATCTCTTCTCTGTCTCATTGCCTGACAGATCAAGCAGGGTTGAGCCCCAAACCCAAGGGCTTATTCGGGTAGGTGGGCTTAAGAAGACTGAAACAATTGCTTTAGAGAGGAAACTTTCCATGGCCCAGGCTTATGGCACCTGTAATAAAATATATTCAGAGAAATGTTTTATCTAAAATGGGCTTTCCTTCTCTAGGAGTTAGTTTAAGAGACTCCAGGAAGTCTCTAGGTAGTTATGGCTTTGCTTGGATGTCCTGCCCTTTTTCTTTGAGGTTGAAATAAGCATCTGAGGTTCATAGTCTTTGTGTCCTTATCAGCTTCTGGGTCAGCTGGCTAGCAGAGTTGTCTAATCCCATTTCTGAGAGATGTTCTTTCATATTTTAAGGCCTCAACTTCAGCAAAACATAAACCAGTAAATTTAGCTGGAGACTGTGAATATTGCCCCTTATGACAGATGTCTCTGCCCTTGCTTGGCTTCTCTCTTTCTCCTCCTATAAGAAACTAGGGCAGCTCCTAGTATCCAACAAATAGAATTCTTTGGATGCAGATGTGAATAAGAATAGGAGTGGGAACATGGGGTCTGTGTTCAGAATAGTAGTAATTATTATTATTATTATTATTATTGTTGTTGTTGTTGTTGTTGTTGTTGTTGTTGTTGTTGTTGTTGTTGTATTTTGTTGCAGTTACTACATGGTATGGTTATATTTCTGTTTGAAGAATCAGACCAGCTTCACAAATGAGTATGAAAAGATTAATGTGTTTTCTCAAGCTTGTATGTACTTTACTGTAATCTGACACTTACTGTAAGAAATACATTTTATATAATTGGCAGTGGCAGACACATATTCTGATAGAAAACAAAATGTATTGAATGATACACTGTGTATCACTGATAGTGACTTGCAGCAGTATTTCCATAAAAGTAAAGAATAATTTAGCACTTGAAAATCAGGCCTCAAAACCAAAATAAAATGTTTTTCTGTTTCTATACCTAGCCTAGGATATATCTCTCCTCACTGCAGACATCAGCAGTGTAGACACATATGGCAAAACCCATCACCCCAAGCTCCCTTTACAGTCAATACAGGGAGCAGGCACTTTTAGGCCATGATTCATCTGACCTATTTACATGTCTGCTGTAGGAGGAGATGAATCACTAGACTAGATCTGTGCGGAGGATAAAGGGAGCCTAAGATGGCCAGCACAGATGTAGATGCTTGTAAAGATCTACAGTTTGAATTTAGGCTTTCAGTTTGGAACAACAATTTTCCAGAGAAGAGTAAAATTTCCTAAGCCATGTTTTCCTAGCAGAATATGTGTATGAATATACACGTATATGGTATTTTTCTTCCTGCAACAGAAACTTTTGCTACAATATCTTTTGAACACTGGTCCTATATACCCTTCCAAATGTTCTACCATCTGAAGTGCTGCCATTTTATCTCTCTCTGCCTCTGTCCTTCTTTCACATATACAGACATGTACACATACCATACTTCAGAGCTGGGCCTTCTGAGTTTTCAGCATTAACTTAAAATATATTTCTCATCTGCTCTACTCTGCCTGCAGCCTTGGTGAGGCAGAGCATCACAGGAAGAGGAACATGAATTCCTGGGAGACAAGTACCGATGCAGAGGAAGGGGGAAGACAAGACCTGAACGTCTAAGAAAGAGTGGAGGTTCCTAAGTAAAGCTGTGAGATGACAAGAGAGAGGCACAGTTGTGTTATTATGTATAGAAGGCCTGAGCTGAGAGAGTCTGGTTTCTTGAGGATGATGTCCTGGCAGGTACTCTTATGCACATGCTGTAATATAATGTTCCAGTGCATCCATACATCCATCTATGCTGAAAATGGCACGAGGGTGATAGTTTAAAAAAAGAAGAAGAAATGAAACCACCCTGTTGGAGAGCTTTACAATTCTCAGCTGCTCCTGAGGTGTGCTTGGTGTAGCTACAGAAGGCAAAACATCCCTCCCATCTAGTCACTGGCACACAGCACAGCAACACATTTATGTGAGCACCTGGTTGATCAGTTTGCTTGTGACAGATCTTGGCACACCCTCTCCTCTGGCTGTAAAGCTTTACTGACTTGTGTGTTTCTCCCTCCACAAACTCTTATCTGGCATGAGAGGACTTGGAACAGAACAACCCTGGCTCTGGCAACAACAGGAAAGTACATTTTAGATAACTCTTTAGGGTGCAAGCTTTGCAGCCATTTAAGGGCTTTTCTGTGGGGTTAGGGCGGATGGGCTGTCCATCATCCAAAGGCTATTGCTGTGGGAAGGGTGCCTGTGCCTGCAAAGGTCTTTGGCAAAGGCCAAGAGCATCTGAAGGCTGCTCTGAGAAATGGATATGGGCTCACAGCTCCCCACAGGGTGCTGTGCAGAAGAGAGCATTCTTCCACCGGTCATCCCAGTGCATCATTCATTAAACATTACGCCCTACAGGAAAATCAGGGTTTTGTGTTTTCCATACCCCTCCTGCATCAGCCCTGACGTCAGTAGTTTGGATCCACGGAAGTTAAATTAAGGCCAGCACAGTCTAATAGGCAAGGGATAGCAAATGCTAAGAAGTCAAGGTAATGAGAAAATACCTGCCATCTGGAGCTGTCATAAGCACGAATTTACATCTCTCCCCACGAAATAAATAAATCACAGCCTGCAAAACATTACTCTCCCTGGATGCAAAGTCCTACTCCTGCCGCTGCCACCAAAAATTTTGGCCTCCCCACTTTCTGCTTGGTCGGTGGCTTCTGCCGAAAGCCCGCGGGTGATGTGTCTGGGCGCGGGGAGACATCTGCAAGCGCTGCCTGTCGGGGCGCGATGGATGGAGTGGGATCTGTTCTGCTGCATCTGCTCGCCTCGGCCCTCGCTCTGACGGAAAGTTTTCCTCCTGGCTCTGACAGCACCGCAGCCACTTGGGAAAGCACATGACTTCCTTGGGAGACGGTGTTTCTTATTTGTGTTGCAGGCCTCCAGCAGGCATGGCACCGAGGCAATATTTATATCAGTTTTTGTAACATCATTGCAGCAGCTGCAATTTTGGGAACTGAAGTGCTGGCTGGAAGTGGGAGAGAGAGGCACAGAGCACAACACACCACATAGAGATGTGGATGCAAGCGGGGGGGAAAAAAAGGGAAAAAAAAAAAAAAGAAAATAAAATTGGCAACCAGCCTCCTCCCCCAGAAAGCTCATTGTGTTCCTGCGTGCCAGGGGTGCTGCTTGCCCTCCAGATGGTTGCCACAGGGCCCATCTGTGTAAAAGTGAGTCAATGGCAATTGCACCTCAGGATGCATGTGATGGGATCAGATCTCTCCCCTCAGGGTGCTTGCACTCCTTGTGGAGCAGGACAGGAGAAGGGGAGTCTCCCAGACAGGTGGTTTTCTGTGCTACAAGCCAGAAACAGTCTTCAGCAGTTTTCTCATACCCTTCAGCTGTGAGAAAGCATAGTTCAATACCTGTGTGCAGATAACCAGGCTGCCCCTAAAACTGCTGCAGCCCCATGCTGTGCCTTGGCAATCAGCCCTAGCAAGCTCCTTACCCCACCTACAATGCCATGCTGGTGCAGCCGTGCTGCTCCCAGGTGCCCAGCTCAGATCTCTGACCCACACTCTGCATGTGTCCTGGAACTACCTTTCTGTGGCTGGGAAAACCCCAGGGAGGTAGGATAGGGGTCCTGTCTTTCAGATGATTTACTTGCTGTTTCCCATTGCAGGTATGTGACCCACTTCTCTCCTTTTCTGCCCCCTGGCTTGATTTCAGTGGTGTTTAGCCAGTTGGAGGTTTGAAACTTCTCTGGTGCTATGGGGCTGGAAGTCATAGCTGCCTGGAAGACACTAGAGTTGTCTTCAGTGTGTCTCCTTGTTCCTTCATCTGCTCTGCAGCAGAGGCAAGTGCCCTTGGTGGGTGCCATGTGCATAAGAGGGGCTCTCACCACTGCCCATGCAAGTTCTCAGTAGGTGGTTTCTACCTCAGGAGCTGGCAGAACACAGACCTGAATTCTTCCCTGCCCACTGCTTTTTCTCCATGTAGCTCCACTGGCCTGTGGAGTTATGTCTGAGAGAGGAGGTGTCACACATTCTCCTTTAGTTACCTTTGAGCTTGATGAAACTAAAGAAAGTTGACATGAAGCTATAAAGCTCCCACAAGGTGTAGCCCTAGACCTGTCAGGTGATGCACACTTTATCATGGGCAAGAGCTGAAGGTCATTTGACACAAATATAGCTGTGTGGTGCAAAACACCTTCATTGTCCTGGACAGCACAAGGTCTCTAGAAAAAGCTGGGCTGCCAATGAGCTCTCCATGTTCCTGTGTCCTGCAGTCCTCTAAAAGGACTGCTGTGAGGACCAAGCAGGGGAACCATCACTGTGTCTGCCTGGGAGGACTCTTGAAAACCAGCATCTGAAGCTTCATCACAGGCTTCCTGAGGCAGACACACTATCAAAGACTGGCAACATGGTAAGCATAGCTTTTTGGGCCATCTGCCTCAGAAAATCCCCTCCAGTCTCCCATTTCATATTCTCTTGTGCCATAAGCACTCCTACTTGGTCTCAAAAACAACTGAAACTTCAATGCCCAAGTGGTTTCCTTAGCACAAAAACTCTGAAATGCTCCTGGTGAGAAGAGCTGGGGTAAGAAAGGCAGGGAGGGGGTAAGAAAAGACATGCCAGCTGTGGTGGCAGATCCTCTGAGGTGGTGTGGGGAGGGCTTGGCAACCCTTTCAGCATTGTCCTATTGCAACAGGAAGGAGGAGGATATACAGAGGCTACTTAAAAGCCCTCAACTTTTTCCCTGCTTCTATTGCTTCTATTGCACTTCAGAAATTCTGCAAGGGAGAAGAAAAAAAAAAAAAAAGAATATTTGAAAAGAAGGTACCCTTGATAACTAAAAAAAACCCTTCCTTTTAGAGCTTACTTCTATTAAATAATTGCTACATTTTAAATTGCTGTTTTCAGGGGCTTTGGGAGGAAGTTTTCTTCTCAGTCATTAATATTTTCTTAGAAGGGTTGCATGGCTTTTTCACTGCTACATGCTTACACTGAAATAGATGTGAAAGCAGTTTGGAGTAGCTCAAAAAGAAGTCTCTGATCAGCCTACATCTAAGATTTCCCTTAAGGACATTAGTGGGAGAGAGAAATAAGTGGATAAGTGCTTTTTTCTTTCCCTTTTTTCCCCTTTACCCCCCTCTCTCTTCCCCCCTCCCCCTCTTTTTTCTCAAAAGCAGATTGTCTGGGTGCAGGAGTTAGCCCTGTAGATATTGGGTGTTTGTGTGTATAGGGACAAAAATACAATTCTCCACTTATCATCCACAGACTGTTGTAGGCTGTAATATTTGGCTTGATTGCAGTATGACTTATAATGCCATTTTTATTAGGAAG